TTGGGATGTGCCCTTTCTCCAAAGGGGGTGTCTGGTGAAGTACTATGATTCCTAGTAAATTTGACAGTGCAATGGTCTATCTATACAAATTTGATGGCGGGGATGTCAATGACAGAATTCTGACCTTCTGAATGCAGATGGCCGACCCTCTGACTGCGTTGATGTATGCAGTTCAAGTGATGAACTTCTTGAAGACACTGATACTAAGGACGCTGAGGGAAAGAAGGGATTCTATAGTGGAACCTTCGCCTGGTTTTCATTTAGAGCCCTCTGATGATAATAGTCACCATAGCCCTATACAGTTCTGCCAGCCAGATTCTGCTAAAGATAATGAAGAGGCTCAGGCCCTCACAACTGAAAACACTGTCTCAGAAAGTAACCCTGCCCCTGATTCCCACCAGGAAACCAACTTAACTGGAGGAGAATCTGGTGGTTTGGAGACTTCTTCTGAAAACCCAGTATGCCACGAGGATTTGTATTGTGATTATCCACCTAAAGGAAATGTTGGGAAGAGCAAGACAGGCCAATCAAGCAATTCGAATTCAAGAAAGGGATCCAAGAAAACCAGAGACCATCAATCCTCTAACCAAGGAACAACGACTGTTGAGAAAACCAAGGGAACCAGTAAACTGAGTCGCATAAATTCAAGATCTGAGAAGGCAGAACCATGGCGGTGAAACAAGCACAAACATGCTGGAGTAAACTTATTCTATAAACATTGTGGCATTGTAAATTTGTTTGATTGTTAAGTGTTTATTGTATTGTTTCGTTTATTTGCCGGGATCTATGAATACACTAGATTGTAATGAATCCTGGTTATCGTGTGTTTGCTTGTCTTCTCATATTTATTCCCGAATAATAGTTGAAATGTATGTTGCTTTATTCACAATGCTTTTGGATTCCCACATTAACATGAAAATCCTTCTAAATTGTTGCTTAGAGAAGGGTGAAAAGTGGGGGGAAATTCACTTTCAACTCACTTTCATTCCTGGAGAGAGAGGAGTGAAAGGCAAGAAGTTGTGGCTCTAGAATGGGAGTGGGTTGCATCACGCTTTCAACCATTTTAACTTTAGTTGTATTCAAGCAAATATTAATTCATTTTCATTTGAAAATTTCATCTTTCCAATTTTCCCTTGGATATTTTTCAGTTCAATCAAGGACTGTACGTCCCAACATCAGATTTTTAGTGATATATGTATACAATACGATTTGCGCGATTGTGAAAAGTCAGGTCCACAAAATATAGACAAAATTGATGACGTTTCATGAGAGGTGGCAAGCGAGCTGAGGAAAGAAGACCAGGCGATAATGATAATGGGAACATTGGAACTTTTTTAAAACATGGAAGCAATCGATCTATATTAGTTGTACTTATATGCATATCATGATAAGGCGGTGAAAACGAGGGCAGAGAATCAACCATTTTCCTAGATAAGATGGTACAAGTAAAAAGGATTGAAACCGAATATTCCTCTTGTTCCTTCCAGAAATGATAATTACCGGAGGCAAAAGGCACAGAGGCACGTGGCGACTAGTATCTTGCCTTCACATTGGTTCAAAAATCTGCATATGTGTAGGATAGAAGATACTCATTTGGTAGTAATAAAAACTCCACCTTCCCTTACATATATGATTTTCAGACTTAAACTTCGCGAGAAGTGGGTTAGATAAATCTAGAAATCACCAATTACCCATAAAATTGTAGCTTAAAAGAGGGTTGTATTATAGATTCATTACAAGGACAACCTCTGTAATATAGCATGGTTTAACCTGGGCCAGTGTGACTCAAAAGTCTTCTTGGTTCAAGTGACATAACTTGCCTTCCGAAAACTTGGTGTATTCTGAGCCAAGGAGATGCATGTTTTTCTTGTTTATTAACGACTTGATTCAAGCCCTGAGTTGCTGGATGAGGTCCTCCCAAAATTTGTGATCACAATTCAACGACTAGGTAGCCTTCCACCTGTCCAATCATTTTATAGACACGTGTTGCCACAAAAGTCCACTAGAGAAAGCCACGTAGCTTTTGATATTGAAATGTGAAAGGCCACTTGGGAAGGAAACAAGTGGCTCAACTATGTGAGAATGTGGAGAGTTTAAGAGCAGAAAATGGTATTGGCAATCACATCAGCATAGTCTGGACGCCACCATTAAGAGTAGATGACACCGTCAACAAAAGTTTGATGGAATTTGGCTTCCACATACTAAGAGGGTTGTGGTCCTCTCCCATTTTTGTTTGCACCAGAGGGCATTGTTGAGATGCTATGGTTCTGCCCTTCTTCACGTATCAAAAGAAGAAATGCTATATATGCATTTTGCTGTCATTTTTTTGTCTGCTACAATTTGTGTTACATGTCTACACTTCAAACCAATTTATCAGGCCTATGAAAACTTGTACCCCAAATTTGACATTTGTTTTGATGATACCAAGATTGACATGATTGTTCAATTGAACAAGAGAAAAATCATAATTTTAGTCTACCATACATTCAGAAATAATTTTAAGCTAAGGTTTGACGTTGTCTATAGCTCACGAATAGTGCGACTTTCTATCTATGAATCTTAAATTTTATTGTGCCAAGAATATAACACAATTATTGATATAAATATAAAAGTTACAAGAAGTTATACTGTTCATAAGTCATAAATATGACTTTATCTTTAAGGTATGTTCACATCTATTTTGAATTTTCCTTGCAACCATTATGGGACCCACTTCTTGTTTAAGTGGACGTTTAGTTTTTAATGTAATGTCACTTTTAGATGCTTTTGTACACAAAATCCACTATAATTTAAAAAAAAAAGTAATGATGATCATCAAACCCGCGTTGGTGTGGTCATAAAAACACTGATGTCTCATACCCGATGCACTCTTGAGTGACTATAATAAAACCCAACTTCTACATATAGTAGGGTGAATGTCACCCAAATTACTTGAATTCAAACCAAGCTCCCCACCTATAACTACCCATTTAATTCCGCAGTCCACTCCATCACAAAAAGACTCCAAAATCAGAGTTCCCTCTTGGCTTTTGCAGATCATGCTTCTCTCGTGCCCTCTATCTTCTCCTCTCTTTCCCTTTCTCTAGAGAACATTGATCTTCCTATAGAAGAATACTGCACGGCAAGTTCAGCCATGGCAGCTTGCAGAAGTCTGCAGCACATCTTCGAAAACCCATTGCCAGAAAACCCAACTCTACTTGAATCCCTCTCATTTAGCCAAATTAAACCTAAAAAACCCATAGAGCAAAGCTCATTCACTGAGATATTTGGTGAGCTCCATTTCAAAGAGAGTCCAGACTTATCCTTTCCTCCACCAGCATGTTATTCTTCATCATCACTAGAATCGGTTCCCCAGAAAGATACTGTGAGAGCTCCAGAATCAAAAAGCCACTCCAAAAGTCTCCGAGGCAGTGAAAGTCTGCAACTTTGCACTGAGGGACTTGGCTTCGAAAGCTCAGATAATGTTGAAGAATTGAAGAATGGAATGAATGAAACTTGGGAGGTGCTGAAAGTGAAAGAGGATATTCCTTTAGGAAATTCGAGCAATGGCCAGCACTATGGGAGGAAGTCAAGGGGAAGTGTGGGAGAGACACAATACCCTCCTCCTATTTCTTGTATAGGGAAGAACGGGAAGCCATGGGTTTGCTTCAGGTCTTACAGAGACAATGGGAGATTTGTGCTGAAAGAAATAAGAATACCTACCAAGGAATTTCTTCATGCTCATAGGGAAAATGGAAGGCTGACGCTCAACTTTGTTCAGCCTGATGATGATGTTCTTCTGCAAGAAGATGCTGAAGAAGAGGAGGAGGAGGAGGAAGCAGAAAACGAAGAAGATGATGAAGAAGCAGAAGAAGATAGTGGAAATGGAGAAAGTGGTACTAATGAAACAGATCAAGTGAATGTAGAAAATGGTGTTAGTGTTTAAACATATATATGCATTCCTCTGATATGTATCAGTTTTTTTAATAAGAAAAAGGGATGATTTGTATGCATGAGTTAGGTACAATGCCTAGCTCATTTTGTATCGATTCATAGGAGGAAACTCTTGGATACTTGTGTACGTGATCTCTTCATCGATATAGTATATCCCATCATTTGCCCTTTTTTGTCCACGTAAATCTCAAGCTATTTCAAATCAGATCATAGTTTCACTTAGCATATGAGTTTCGTGAGGTTAAACTGACCTGACGCGTTCTCTGTTTCCAAAAAATTGGCTACGTCGAAGATTCTGTGGCCAAAAGGGGTTGACTCACTTGAAACTAGCGATGTTTAGCATGCGGTTTTCTCGAACGTACACATGAAGCTGAACGATAAATTATTTTAGGTATAACCCACCATTTCTATATTATTTAAAGTAAATATAACACAAGTTTAAAAATTTTCATAATTATTATACTCATATTTTAGGAAAGGGATGGACTAGAGAGAGATAACCGTTCTTTTGAAGGGGGGGGGGGGAGATCACCGTTCCTTTTGGTTCTGGTCTTCACAGAGATGAAAAGTCAAGAAACACAGCGTATTCTTGGAAGAAATATGGCATCTATTTGTCCACAAATAAAAGGATATTTTTCTCACGAGAATGGCCGCGGGAGAATACAAGAAAGCTCTAGCAAGAGAATCCTTGTGCCCCTGTTCCTCTTTTTATCTCTCTTTTCTGAGAGTAGCTTCTTTATTGAACTTTTAACTTCGTAAATTAAAGAAGGCAAGTGGACAACAAAGTTTTTTCCACAATAAAAGCAGATTGGAACCCAATTGGATAGATTTTTTTTTCAAAAAAAAAAAAAATCCATTTGATAGAATTGACGTATACCTTTAAAAAGGGAGAAAACGACATTTCTGCCTAAAATAAGATCTTTATATCAAGGCGATCACAGGACAAATGAATCTTCATCTGCAGGATCATGCTTCGCAACTCACATATCTAAGCAATTTGACTAATCTTTTGTGGAGTAAACAGCAATCTCCCACACTATCAACATGGACAAAACACAAGGCTTGAGAGATGATATGAAGTGATTCAAGTTAATCATAATAACCGAAAGATCTAATACAGAATATCCGAGTACTTGGCTGAATGGCTCTCAAGTCTACATATTTATTGAATTACAATGGACTGGTAGATAATAATATTTGTTCACCCTCATTATTGATGATGATACATGTCCTGGAGGCATTTAGAGGACTAAAACATCCCATACATAATTCCATAACAATGTCGTGGAGGCTTTTTTTTTTTTTTTTACAGAACAGTATTGGTGCCATCTAGTGTCAGTAGCACCTTATATAGTTCTGGTCGGCGATCTCGGAATACACCCCAACAATGTCGCTGTGATTTGATCTTGTCCAGGTCAAATTCAGCGATAAGAACAGCTTCTTCTTTATCATCAGCAGTTGAAACAATTTCTCCAGTAGGTCCTGTTCATTGAAACAAAGTAAACAAGATTCAGAATAGTTATATTTGCAGCTAAATTCCTCAGATGATGAAGAAAATGACATTGAGTTTACTGAACTATCATGAACAAGAAAACAGAGGAGGGGGCTACAGAGCAAGAAGATACATCAAGATTCAAGAGTTGAAAGATGATCAGTTTTCAATTTTTCATTGAAAGACCCCATTCCATTATTAGTCAGGGATTAAGGCTTTTTTTTTTCCCGACGCACTAAAACAAAGGTCAGAATAACTACCTGCGATAAAAGAGTTTCCATAAAATGTAATCTCACTTTTCCCATGCTCAGTGTCAATTATCTCCTTTCCTATTCGATTTGAAGCCACAACAGGCACCTGCAAATTCCAGAATTATTTTATTCAATAGCTTGGAGAGTAAAGACTTCAGTAGCATTTACTGTACGCTTTTTCTTAATTTCTTCCAAGAATTTGAAAATCCCTATACTATTTGGGGCACATAAATTTAAATATTTCTTTTTCTTAAATATCTCATTAATGATCCGACCCAAAAAAATTCTCATTAATAGGGTTCCAAGGGCAAAGGAGATTATACTTTGCACATGCCAAACACCACGTTAGTGAAACTTCTTGAACAGAAACATTGATGTAAATGTAAAAGAAATATTTGTGAGCATGTCAAGTGATCTACAAAACCTACCAAATTGGCCCCAGCATGTCCTTGCATAACCCGCTTCCAATGATCACGGGAGTCTAGCCCTTCGTCTTGAGGTTCAGACCCAATAGCCGTGGGATAAAGCAAAACCTCAGCACCTTGAAGAACCATTGCCCGTGCTGCCTCTGGAAACCACTGATCCCAGCAGATAGCTGACATTAAAATTAAAACATAATAATTGTCAGACTCAATCTCCCGTATCCTCAGTGAAGTTCCATCTGGCAGAAAGATTAAAAATAAAACTTCCGAAATGTTACTTGTAGCAAAAGTATATCCTACAGTAAAACCAAGGCCAAACAACTCGGAAAAAATTACAGGTACAATGCCTTTCCGTCTGTCTTAGACGTCTTCATAGTTGATGCTAAATACCAAACAAAGGGTTAACATCACCTTCTCAGAGAGCAGGTTAATAGAATAAACTGTGAACAGTAAAAGTAATTCTTTGGTCTTACCAACTCCAATCTTTGCAAATTTGGTCTGGAAAACCTGTTTTGAAAGACATCCAGTGTTACAATATCATCCCAGAAACCATAAAACAAAAACGAGCCACTAAAAGCAGTGGATATTGGTAAAGTTTATCCTTGGTGCCCACCTTAAAGCCTGTGTCACCTGGATTAAAATAGAACTTTTCCTGGTAACCTGTAGAAAGGGTTAATGATTTAAGTTGTTTGGATGGTAAACTATGCTCAAATAACCTCAAAATTTCATACCTGGTCCATCTGGGATGTGTGACTTTCTGTAGACCCCAAGATCAGTTCCATCAGCATCAACAATGGCTATAGAATTATAATGTGCATTGTTTGCCTCCTCAAAGAAGCTAACAGGTATGACTACACCTAACTCCTTAGCAAGTTTCTGCATCCTATAGCATGCGAATGGAAATAAAAGATATGATTAACTGCAAAGTCAATGCAAGTTAAAGTCATATTCAAATTTTATTCCTGTCCAGTAAAGGCTTAAAAAGAACCGTATATGATTCAAGCCAAAATGGCATGACAGAAGTAATAACCTTCAAAGAGTACCTACAAAAGACACAGAGAACGAAACTACAAAAGACAGTTCTCCTATGAACCTTAGAATTGTTGGGTGGCCCTCATGAGGCTTGGCTCTTTGAATGTAATCCTCTCTCTGTGCCTGACAGAAGTAATAACCTTCAAAGAGTTCCTACAGTCATTCGTGAGGATGAACTAATCAACAACCCATCAGGAATGCAATAACCATCAGAAGTAATGAGTCCACTACAATGTCCTGCCATTGGACAGAAATCCATTGTTTCCATAAAAACATCTAACACCAAGAAATTCAATTTCCCTTAGATGGAAGGTTTTAAGCTGAAATTAAAAGTTAAGCATCAAATGAAGCAAGACCAACGACCATCATAGAATCAATCCTGGCCGAACAATTTATACAAATGAATAGTTTATAGGTGGAATAGCACATCGTTCAAATCTAACACCAATTCCATTTGATACAACATAGTAAAATGAACGATTTTGCTTTCTTCATCACTTAACCAGATCCTATATTTGGCATTTAGAATATCGCTTAGCTTATCTTTTCCAGCCCAATGAGAGAACAATGGCATTTATAAAAGCAATGGAAGAAAAGCCGCTGTGCAATCAGATTATAGACTGTAGATAATCCCTTCATGAAATAATTAGGAAGCACAAGCCTTTCGCTTATAAACAATATGAATCCAACAAAAGATGTAGTGTTTTAGAATTTCTATAATAGTGTAAAATAAGGAGGGAGCATGCAAGAGCTAGACAGCCCGCATTCAAGATTTACAAACCTGAATAAGAATAATATTTGCACCTTTTTTATGAGCAGCTCTAACAAGCCTGCACAGAAGAGCCAGAAACATCAAATGACATCCATAGATATATTGTCATTGATAATTACGGTAATTTTTTACGTCGTATGATTGAAATCACATGGAAACGGAAAAAGAAGTAGCCTCAGAAAGACACAGCCCATAAGATAGAACTATATGTACTTTATTTTAGCATCTAAATGTCACAGAACCCGTAAGATCGAACTGTTTCTAAACATCTAAGTAGCAGCCAGGAAACTTAAAAAAGACGCCGCTCTTCCTGGACAAAGAAGAAGAGCAGAATGCTGGATCGGTTGCAGCAAGAACTATCGCAAAGCATTTGCAAACATTACTGTATCCCAAAAATATATATATTTATGTATATTTGCAAACATTCCAGGATTGAAATATGCGCAATGAGTTGAACTGATTTGCTCGAGAACCTAGCCCAACTATAAACAATTTTAAACTGGAACCAGAAATTGGGTTCTAACAAAGAAACTGGCTCAAGATTTGTGAGGAGAATTTTGCACGAATTTAACATGGATTCCTCAAGAAATGTTCAAATCTTTGTCTAACAATCAAAGTTCTTTGAAGTAGTCCGCCTTCAAGAAAGTTGTCATGTGGATTCCATAGAGAAGAACTATAGGTTTTAGCTGTTGCACAAAGCAGTGATATTAAACATTCGAAGGTTAACACAATCTGTAATAAATGAGCGATGTACAGACTTCTGATCATGGAAAGGGTAAAGTAGAAATCTTTTTATCGCGGGTAGCTCAAGATTTTCTATACAAGTGTGATCAAGTTCAGCTTTTTAGACATTAAGAGTGTGAATTAGGGCTGTAAGGAAAGATGATCAATCAAAAGTGAGTTCCAAACATGGGCACCTCTCGGCGGTGGCGACATTGGTTGAGACGTCGTCAGTGCAGGCAAACTGTAGAGCTGAAACCACCACGTTTCTGCCCTTCTCCATTTTGTTCGCGGGGTTTGCCGCCCAAACGCACGGAGGCTACTCTCGATAGCGTTTAGCTATGGGAAGCGCTCAGTGATCCGTGGCGGCGCCACTTTATTTGAGAATTTTTGTTTTTTTTGTTTTTTGTTTTTTTTTTTTTTGCCTAAACGGCTGTCTTGCTCCCAAACGCGGTTTTGATGTTTGATTCCAAAAACCCCAACAACTAATTTATTGCGTTGAGTAGATGGTGCTGTCCCGTGCAACTAATTTATTGCGTTGACTAGTGGTGCTGTCCCGTGCAACTAATTTATTGCGTTGACTAGACTGTGCTGTCCCGTCCATTGCACGGGAAGCAATTAATTTAAATGAGAACCTCACCTAAAATAATGTCTCTTTACACTTAAAAAAAAAAAATCAAAGTGTTAACAGTACAAACATTGAAAAAACTGAGTTCTCCCTCTCTTGTACTATCGCGCGGTTCAACCTTATCTTATATGGCGATGCTTCCACGTAACATTTGGAGACCATTTTATTTGCAATTCTCTAAGTATCTCCCAATAGATTAAATTGGTATTTGACTCTCTCTTTTTTGTTTTTCTCCCTAAGCACGTCCCACCACCATGCTTTAACGTACTGATGAAAATATCTGATATTGTAATTAGGTCGAATATCATTACTCACTAAGGGGAAAAAAATCTCTATTGGGCCTATAATCCACAACAATATGATGAAAATATCTAAAGCTAATAAATGCGTAATTTCCAGATGCTTTTCATAGTGCTTAATTTGTTGTTTACTACTCCCTCCGTTCCTTATTATAAGAGACATTTGATGCTTATGGCATGTTCCTATATATAAGAGACACTTACAAGTTGTCTCTACTTTTTTGTGTTGATTTACTATTTTACCCATATTTATTATCTCCAACTCACACTCTCTCTCCCTCCCACTTCTCTTTCTTTTAATAATTTAATTGTTCTCTCTCCTTATTAATGAGGGCATTTTTGGAAAAAAATTATACTTTCTACATATTAATTGTTCTTAACTAATTTTAACTGTTTTTTTTATTAACGTACTTCGGTTATTTGTCTCTTATAATAAGGAACGGAGGGAGTAATATTATTATTTGATACAAAGAAAGTTACCAGAATCAATGCGCCATTAAATGCCATCTTCCATCAATTTCACGGTCTTCATTTAGTGCTCACCATAATAATAAATATTATGTGCTCATCACTATAATACAATTTAAACCATCCAAAATCTAATATAGATGGTTCTGATTTAAATTTTTTAATATATAATTTTTTTAAGTGATAAATTTATTTTTTAAAGATATGTTAGTTATAATATTATATTTATTTAAAATTCTGTATCTATTAAAATAAAAAGTTGATTAAAATATATTAAAAAAAACTTAAATTCAATATGAACTATCTAAAATCGATCTGAATTGTTCAAATTGTGATGAGCATTCCATACTTATCATTGTGGTGAACATGGAATGTGCTTCCTGTATTCGTTGGTGATTTTGAAAGGGATCTAGTTTCAGCGCTGATCACAATGATGAGCACCATGATACTCATCAAATGTCAACCATTCAAATTTAATATGAACAGCTGAGATTTAATATTTAATATTTTTGTTTCTTAAAAAATATTTTTCTTTTAATAGGTATATAATCCAAAATAAATATAATATCTTAACTATAAGTTTTTTAAAAAAATAAATTTTTACTTGAAAATCATCAATTGAAAATTTTAAATCCAGACTATAAAAATTGATTTTAAATAGTTTAGTATTCCTTTTATCTATTTGGTAATAAGTTGTTGCGGTTCCTCAAATTGACATGGCAGCATTAGTTTTAAATATGGCCTTGTGATTTTTAACTGAAAAATCAACCCACGCAGCTTTTCTCTTGCGCAACTGTCCCTATTAATCTTTTATTTCTTCAATGACAATAACATAATATAGCCGATGGACCAGATGCGTACAAACAACAAACAACCAACATGATCTTAACTTCTATTTTTTCAGATGAAAATCTTATACTACCAATAACATATTCTATGTTTTATGTTAAACATGAAAACACTAAAGTTTTATGAACATAAACATTGTTATTGTTAATGGAAGGTTTTTTTATGCGCAGAAATCCTGCATCTGATTATGATTTATTATTATACTAAAAGTAACAATGTTTATATGATCACATATAATTATGTTCATGTGTATGCAACCATACATGTTGCCATGTTAGTGAGTTACTTGAAGTGATTGTCGCAATGGTTTCCTTAGCGAGTTGTATATATAGTCCTAAAAAAGTTTTGGCAACAAAGAAATAGATTGTCTCATTAGTGAGTTGTAGTTTTGAAAAAATCTCACTCATTAAATTTGACGCATAAACATTGTCATTGTTAGTGTCCAAATCAAGGAAGCAAATTAATAGTCTCAAAGTACTACTTGGCCATAACAGCGAGGAGTTAATATCTCATTTCCATAATCTGAAGTAATCATCAGCTTCACTGTCTATATTTTACAGCAGAGATATGTTCGCACTTTCAAATTGATCCGGCAATTGAGTGGAATTAAGGGAATAGAGGTTAAGTGAATAACTCTCTTGTCATACGTAATTTTAAACTTTTGACTTGCAGCTCTTGGACTTTTCCTTATGATAAAGGATGAATGGCTTTTCCTTGTCAAGTTAACTTTTTCAGAAGTTTTGACCGGTTTGGTTAGAGACAAATTTTAGAGCCTGCACCGTACTTTTGCAGGATAATTTTGCATTACCAAAAGTTATCTGCATACGAAGCTCTGTAGCACTTACAAGTCATTAGCTTAGAATTTAATTATTCATAGGATAAACCACCACGGTCCATATCATACATTCTAAGCAAAGGTCAGAGTACGTGTCCAAAAATTGCGCAACATCTAACATCTTCCAATGTGCAGCACGTCAACTGATTGAAAAATCCACCCCCATGAACCTTTTTACTACTTGACATCCTATCCCGTCTTATTCCATGAACCATCGCACTAGATCTTAAATGTGAATCAGCATTTCAAAGCACATTATTTGATCATCACAAAAAGTCAAAAAAACATTCAAATTCTAAATAATAAAAGAATTTGGAGCATCCTTTGCATTTCGTGGCTCGGGAAGTTCTGCAGACATATACATGGTCAGTTAATAGTATCAAAAATATTCTATAGATATAGATGAAATTAATAGTTGGACTTCGATAGCACAACGTATAAAGTACAAGGTTTACATTTGACTTTAATTTTTATTTGCAACAGGATGCCCCTTTAGGGTGGAAGAGAAATACATGTTTAAAAGGTACACACACATGTTATTCAATTTCATCTTTTCTGGAAAATGACGTACTCTGTCTTTCTTTCACCTATGTGAATTAATTTCGTCTTTTGCGTAGATCGTTACAATTGGACAGAGAATGTAGAAAAACCCCATCAATTAATTTTGATACATCGTTTCAAATGCCAAATCAACAAAAACAAGTAAATAGAGGAGAGCAATGAGACATACTTCTTGAGGTTTGGACAAAGCTTCTTGACTTGGAAAAGATAACAACATTTGCACGTGCATTGAAGAAGGCCCTTGGATCGAATGAAGGTCTGGTTTGTGGGACCATAATTGTTGACAGGGCGTAGAAGCATTTTGTCTTCCTTTTTTTGATAGTGATCCTTCTTCACTTGCAAACATTTCATACATCTCCCTCTTTCTGCTATGTTCCTTGATCCTTCTGATAACATGTTCAAGGATGGAGAACCTAGAGAGAGTTGGTAGTCACAACATTGAATCTGGTTGGGAAAAAGATGAAATTTTGGCAGCATGAGAAAAAATGATAGCTGAAATATTACAGAAATGAGGAAATATAAAAGGGAGATAGAGGATTACAATATAAATGTACAATCGCTATTATCTCGTAGACTCGCTGTCCTCTTTAATATCCATACTTGTGAAAAAGAAGGGGGGATGTCATGAAGTGGAAACATCCACCATCCTTTTTCAAACGAACCTGAAGGCAAATGCAATGGGTATGAAGGTCAATGACATAATGTAAGAAGAAGGGGGGAAATAATCATCAAAGAAAGAAGACAAAAGCACCGCAAGCTGACTTTATCCGTCATATCCTCAGCGGTTTCTCTCCACTGTCACATCCTCACCTGAAAAGAATCACCACCGATCCCTCTTATCTCTGCCTCCCAACTGTCATGGCCATCATGATCATGGCTTCTCTGTTGTCACCAAGGCTGCTAGATCTCCCTACCGTCCTCACTGAGAAATGAAAAAGAAGAGTGCGATGAAATAGAGAGGGTGAGGACCAATGTGTAGCCCTCACTTCTGTCACTCACCTTCCTATGGCCATGATCTCCTCATCTCTGCTTCCCCAGCATCATCGCCATTCTCATCAGTGCCTCTCCGCTGTTGTCATCGTCACCAGATCTCCCCACCATCTTCAGTGTTTAACTCCTCATTAGTGAAGGCGTAGTCTGAAGACCAATGAAGAAAATCTGAGTGAGGTGGTTTGAAAAGAAATTGACAGTTGGAGGCTAGAAAGAGGATATGAGAGGGGTTGAGAAGTGAGCCGTACGAGAGAGAGAGAGAGAGAGAATGTGTGATGCCGGAGAAATAGAAAGGACAAGACAGTGTTGACAAGATTCATAAATGGAGAAGATTCAAATTTCAAAATATAAGAAATGAGGCGGGATTTGAAATTCAAAATATAGTCTTTGCATGCAGCCATTTATATGAGCCATATGACACAGAAACCGAGAGACTATTATTAAGCCAAAAGCCCCTTATAAACAGTAAAATGAGTTTGAAGCTAAAGAATAGGTCATTTGAGTCGTGGTTTGAGTTGAATAGTATTAAAAGATATATTGATATATTGATGAAACCAAGAGTGGAATGGAGATAACTTCAGACCTCTTACGAGAAGTCAATCAAAATTTCTAATTGAGGAGGTGACTCGAGACAAGAGCCTCCATTATTTGAGGGTTACATTTGGTTTTGGCTCGCATCTCAAAATTTATTTTTATAAATTTCAAGACAATCCAACAGCTTCAAAACATG